CATAGTTCTTAAGACCATTGATGAATAAGGCAGAAAAGAAAATAACAAAGATCTAGCATAGGGCCAATGGAAAAATGGGGAAGGAAGGAAAAATGTACTCTTACTGTTATGTTTTTAAAAAAATATATTCCTTGATAGACACTGATTTGATAATWAAATGTCTGATTTATATGAACATGGGATAAAACCATCCCTGTCCAGTAATGCTGTAGAAGTCAATATAACTCAAYCATTCAAATGAAAGGAAAACAAAGCTTGAGAAACACTGGAAGGCAGTAAGAAGCATGATGAGTCTTTTTGTCTTGACCAATTTTTGTTCTTCTATTTAAGGCATAACACTACAAGCCTGGGTTGGCATGGTTAGCAGTACCTAAACATGTATGTGAGGGTATAAGGGAAGAGATGGAAAGATAAGTAGAGATTTCTCTGCAAATCTAAGTTACAGACACATCTCCAACACTTACAGTAGAGGTTATTAACTCCCAAACAGCTGTTACATCTTTACAAAGTGAAATTCAATCAAACCTCCTCCTCCAGAAGGACAGGACACAGCCTCCATACCAGGTAAAAATGTTATATTTGACTTTAGATAATCTGCACATTTTGTATCACAATCACTGAAGAGATCTAACATCCTCACATTTTTCCTTTGGCAGAGAACATAAAGTCATTTCCATATATCGACTGAAACATGAGCTAATTAAAAGAATATTATGYACTGATGGATAGCAAAGTCAGACCCTGAATCTGGTAGAAGGAATACAGCCTGTTCTGTTATATAATTAATGAGTGGGAGGGAAAGGAAATGAAGAGTAAAGTGAAAATAAAATGGGCTGTGGGTTTTAATGAGAAACCTGTTGAAGAAGTAAGAATATAGGAGTTAAGGAGACATTATCACATCTTCCAGTCAAAGATCACTAGGGTAAGAATGAGATAAACATGATTGACTGGATTGAGAAGCCATTTCTCTCAGTCTCTCCTTCTTCCTCTTTTGCAAAACTAAGGATTGAATCCAGGGCCTCATGCATGTTGAGCAAGTGCTCTTCCCCTGAGCTACAGGTCCAGCTCTAGAAGCCATTGTTCTCATAAGTTAAAAGTAAAACGTTAATCCCAGCACACATTTGTTTAAAATATACCTGATATGTTACTGTATATATTAGGAACATTTATGAAAAGAGCAACCTCATTGAAATGGTAAGACGGAGCTTAAAACCTTAATAATAAAAGTAGACAGTTATTCATCCTAACATTATAATGGAAAAATTTGTAAACTAGTTTTAAAATGCCCAAGAAAAGATAATCACAGAATAATGGCTTCATCCTTCTMGAACTAAGATTACTGTTTCTTAGAGAGTGAGTTCTAATGATTTGTTTTTTATTGATTTTATTCCTTTCTTTATCTCTTTCTCCAGGAACACTTCTCTAGGAACATTATTAACTGCTTCCTCTTCTTTTATATCAGCCTGGCCATGTGCCATTTAATCTGGCAGCCATTCCTCTCTTCTCCCCAGTGAAGTCTATCCCAGGTCAGATTCCACCACCTCCACCCTGGATTACTGAAATGATCTTCTAATTAGTATCCACACCTCTGGTCAATTTCTCTCTCCCTCTTTTCTCCAATACTTCCTCATTGCCTCCCCTGTTTTTGATCCCTGTTTTTCTCTCTCCCTCTATCACTTTCTCTTCTTGATATCTTAAACTCCTCTCTGTGCCTATCTTAATHTTCTTAAGATACTCATTTGATCATTTCTCTCCCTTGTTAATGCTATTTCAATGGCTTTCGGTGGTGGGTTGAATGGTGGCCCTCCTGCCCCAAAAGAAATGTTCATATCCTAACCCTGGAAACTTTGAATGGGACCTTATTTGGGGAAAAAATAAAAAATAAATAGTCTTTGGAGATGTGGTTAAGATAATGATCTCGAGATAAGATCATTCTAGATGATTCAGGTGGGCTTTAAACATAACTAGTATCCTTATAAGAGATACAAAAAATTAAAGAGAAGTCCAAGTAAAGACAAAGGCAGAGATTAGAGTTAGCCACAAGCCAAGGTATAACTGGAGTTACAACTGGACAAGACTAAGAATTTAAAAGGTCAAATGATGAGAATGGGGAAAATTGTCAAATAAACAATAAATGAACATCACCAGCACAAAAGAAGAATATGAGTTTGCAGATTGCATGGGTATGCAGACAATTAGGCAAGACTTAACAGACTTATTTCAACAGACCTAAAAATACAACAGGGGAAATCGCCGAACACAAATAATTATAAGAATAATCATTTCAGAGAAATGACAGTTCATCCATAAAGAAGGAACAGTGTTGTCACTGACAATAACAAATTCATGAATACAAAATTAAAATACCCTCTTATGAAAATCTTCAAAGGAATATTACTTGAAAAATATCAACGCATTGCACAAAATATCAACACTTATAAACCACAGATTATTAGGGGTCATAGACTATACACAGAAACATAAAATAGATAGTGCTAAAAGCTATGGAATATACACATGTCGAAGAGACCATATGTGTGGGTGTGAATATCTCTACATGATATCTATGTAATGGTGTGTGTAGGTCCAAACATACCAACAAACAAACACATCTATTCTTCCCTGATCATAATATCATAAATTCCTGTAGGAATTTATCATCTAGGTAAGGAAAGACAACAGCACACACAAAATAACTAAACAGTAATAAAGGACTCAGATGGGTGTTACTAACTGTTCTGTTGATGTTGATGAAGAGAAGGTCAGAAGTGAGCAAGACCAGTCTTATGACTGGGATATGTGGAAAAGTTGTAGCTGGGCACAATGGCACACTCCTGAAATTCCAGCAATTTGGGAGGCTGAGGCAGGAAAATTTCAAATTCAAGACCACCTTCAACAACTTAGCAAGACCCTAAGAACTTAGCAAGACCCTATCCCCCCAAAAAAATATGAAACTGACTGTGGATGTAGCTCAGTGGTACTGAAGATTGAACACTCAATCTTTAGTACCAAAAAGAAAGAAAAAAGGGTGGAGGTGCAGGGAGAAAATTAAAGGTATAATCTATGTTGGACCTCAAAGCCTTCAGCCTTATCTTAGATAAAGAGAAAGGAGTAAACTCGGGTGGGGAAAAATGAACAACATATGTAGTACAGTAATAAGAGCAAACAGATATCCTCAAAGATATATAGAAACTAGTTTGAAATAAAACTGAACAATTTTTAAACAGATCATGATAAATCTTTAGAATACAAAAAAAGTCACCACCTCCTGATATCAGGTAATAAAATCATAAATATAACAAAGTAAAAAGTCTGTTTTAATTTATAGCTAATAATCTTACATAACATATCACAGATACTTAATTTACCTTTGATGTTCCTTTAGTAGAAAAATATAAACCAGATCTTCTTAGAAGGAAGTAAATTTTTTTCCAGGACTTCTTTCCCTGTTCTTTCGCATGTAAGAAGCCATGGATTTCAGKATATGTGCTTGAACTTAGAAACATCTGGAAGAAAAATTAGACTCTCTCCTAATATTATGGAAACAATGATTTTGTAGCCTTTCACCAATCAAATGTAAGAATGAAAAACTAAACAATATCAATATCAAACATCAAAATTATAAACTATTTGATTGTCTATTTGTAAAGCTGGATATCATCTATAGGGTGAAGTCCTATACTTCTCATCCTTTCCCATGTTTTTTTTTGTGTGTGTGCGTGTGCGTGTGCGTGTGTGTGTGTGTGTGTGTGTGTGTGTGAGAAAGTTGACAGGTTCACCTATCGATTTCCTTGTGTTATACCATAGAAGACCACAATCCTGACTTCAATTATTAAAGACAAGAAGTTGAGCCAAGTTCACTTTGCTGATGAGAGTATACAATCTCTTATCTTCCATAGTTTGTCATGGGACAGTATGGCAGGCTGGGTTTTTTCCAAAGAGGACTGCAACCATATTTCCCATCCCACGTGTCCTTCTGCAATGGCATCTTGGCTTTAAACCATGAAAAGGCAGAGTTTGTTTCTCTGTCCACCCTGAATCAGTGTAAGCCTGTCACTGCTTGGACCAAAATAAAATTGTAGAAGTAACCCTTTGCCAGTTCTAGATATGTCCTAGCCTGATGGCTTTCAAATCAACTTGACTTCTGCAAGTCAGATGCCACACAGGAAATATGATTATCCGGAAACCCCATGGGTGAGAAGCCCAGTGAAACTGGAGAAGCTTTGGAGGACGAAACACCACACAGAAGGAGAAAGAGAGGACAGGAGTTGAGTGTCACAGCATGTGTGGTAAAAGGGACAGCTTAGAAGGGGACCTTGAATCTTCTCTAACCACTGAGTCAAAGTACTTCAGAGACGAAGCAAACTCTTCTTAAATTCCTGCCCCTCAAAATGGTTGGCAAAATGCAGGTGGGTCCTTTAAACCATTAAGGTTTGGAAGACTGGGTTATACAGTAGTAATTAACTGAGATGGGGGCACACATTGGTCAGGGAAAGGAGAATGGAAGGGAGTCACTCTGTGTGCGTGGCCATGCTCAGTGTCCTTAATAAGACACTGGAAGTGCATTAGTGTCTCATTAAAAGAAGAAAATAGAAATCCCTATGAATAAACAAATGGAAGAACTGAAAGTAAGAGAAATTATTAACTAAAACAATGTACTTTATTTTTAAAGGCTATTCAGGGAAATGCCAATAGTACATATTTACA